TCACAATGGCTCCAAGTAGTAATTATTATCTTTATCTTACAATGAGGAAACTGAGACTGAAAAAAGCTAGGTAATGTACCCAAGGTCACTAAAAGTTGTCAAAAACAGCATTTAATCACTAACCCATCAGACAACAAAAACCAGTGTTAGTAGATCTAATTTATTATCCCAGCTAAATAATAAGCATCTGGGGAAGCACTGGGACTTACCTTGGCTAATGTGAATCAAGACAGTAGGGCAGCTATATATCTATACAAAACAAAGGTTAGTCAAAGCTGTTTTCAATTTAAACATATGCCACTCTATAAACCATCAGAATGCAATACTATTTCAATTGTGGAAGTTTTACAGACTCCCCAAAGTTCTAGCTATAGAAAGAATACAAAGTGATCAATTAGCAACCAGATGAACACAAGGATATGACAATATTAATTTAAAGAATTTCAAATATATGTGATTCCTACCTGATTTCATTTCCAATAGTGTGTTGTTATCAATTTCATGGTTAGCTTTTCCAGGCTGAGGCACTCTAAGTGGTATGATCTGAGGGACACACACTGAACCAGCAGTCATTTTCCCTCCTTACATTAAAAAAAGATAAATTCCAACATGCACCTATATCTGAACACAAAAGCTGAAGAGCAACATCTCATATAAATGCAGCAAAACTAGTAAAAACTAAATAGAATACTGTCAATATGCTACTCACAAATACATAATTATTCAATTTTAATTAAAATTACTACATTTCACTGTATTTTTGCTGTTGAGGTCTTCTTTGGGATTTTGATTATGTAAGTACTTCTGAGAAAGAAGCATGAATGAATGAGATGGTGGAATGGAGTTATTTTAAATGGACAGATTAAATGAGTAAGACAGAAGAAAGACCATCGGTAATGCTCTGACCTGAGTTCCCTCTAGATCACCATCAATTATCCTATCCTGCCTCCAGTGACGGTGCCACCTCTCTTGGCTTCAGGGAAAGTCATCACACAAGGAGAACAGAAGTAACTGTGGGGGGTGAGGAACCTGTGGCCTAGAGACCACATGTGGCATTCTGGATCCTTGAGCATCACCCTTTGACTGAATCTAAATTTTACAGGACAAATTCCTTTATTAAACATTTTAATTTTACATTTTAAATTTTACATTTAAATTAAACATTTTAATAAAGAGATTTGTTCTGTAAAGTCTGGATTTGCTCCAGGGGCTGCATTTGGGGATCTAGAGAGCAACATAAGGCCTCAATGCTGCAGACTAGAGATCCACAGCCTGGCAATCACCACCACAGTGGTTCTTGTATTTGAAAGCTGCAAAGACACCTTAGAAGGACTACAGCATACCACTTCTCAGCTGAAACTGTAAAGAATAGAAGCAAGGACCAACAAACACCAGTCACCACTCCATCTGTATTTATAAATCCTGGTTAATTAAATACCAGTAGGGAGGCCTTCCTAGTCTTCAGTAAAAGAGGTGTCATAATTTTTAATGCATAGAAGATTCCAGAAGAAAAAAACTACCTTCACACAGTGCCATTTACATCTCCATACTACCTTTCCAATTTCAATGATTTTGGATGCCTAGGTTTTACCCAATTATTATCTTTACGTTCTTTCAATTTTTATAATCTACTTACACTCTCACTTCATTTTTCAATATACTTATATAAGCTTATTTACCAATCTGTGGTTGAGCATTTAGGGTATTTCTAGTATCTTGTTAGTTTTGACTGTTATAATTCTAATATAATTCTCAACATCTTCATGGTTTGAGTTTTGTCAGACTGCGGCAGCAAAAGCAGATAAATTTAAGGTGTGAGCTGGATTGGATGGTTCCAGATTGGAGGCCAAGAATATAAACGGCAGACCATGGTAGCTCAGCAATAGGTCCTGTAAAATTGCGGCTACACTTGAAGGGACTTGCCCATTGTCGCATTTCTATGTAAGCAAAAGCCATTTAAAATAATGCGTAGTTGAAAAAAGTACTTCTGGATAAAAATATGTCGGGGAGAGAATAATTCGCAAATGGCACCTAGTAGCCGCCCTTGAGAAGGTGACGCGGCCAAGCGAAGGGAATGCAGAAAAACGCAGAAACGCCAGGTCCCGGGGGCAGCTTGCAGGTAACAGCATCGCCCAACCCCCACCTTCCTGCACCTAGACCGCCCCCTCGCCGCTAGGATCTGGAACCCCGTCTAGTCCTCGCCTGTCAAGGGCAGCCAGGACGCCTGCATCCCCTTGGCTGGACTGAGGGAGGCCTTCCTCCTCCAGCCGCGAGGGCCGGGGGCAAGACCCCCAAAGCACCTCTGCCGCCCCCAACCCAGCCCCGGGGTTCTCACCGCCTCTTGCCTCCTCCGCAGAAGGATGCTGAGTTACCACAGACGCTGCAAGCCGCGCCCCGCCCGCTGGGAGTGGACAAATGATTGGCGAAAGCTCCGCTTCCTAGCAACCAGCCCCGCCCCGGCCGCTGCGCAGGGAGACTGGCCCCTGCGGGGGCTGCCTTCGTAGGACCACCGTAGGCATCCAAGAATATGCCTTCACAGAGGTTGCAACGCTGGCGACCCTACTCGGAATAAGGGAACCAGGCTTGCTCCTCCGACGGGCACTGATTTTCTGGAAAACAAGAATAAGAAAATGCAGAGGCTCCGGAGAGTGGCGCGGAGCAGGCGCGGCTTGGCCGCCTTAAGCCGACAGACAGCGAACGGCCTTTTGCGACACGACAAAAAAGGTCCCTCGCACTGGGCCGGGGTCCTGTAGTTCTCGGATTTGGTAACCCACGGCTTGGTGTGCCTCTTCGCTCAGGAATTGGAAACTGCGCCCTCATGGCTGAGGTGAAGGTGAAGGTGCAGCCTCCTGACGCGGATCCGGTGGAAATAGAAAACAGGTAAACCAAGGAGGTTCCGTTCCCGGCTCTAGACACGCCGCAGGTAGCCGGTCATTTGAGCAGATAAACCCCTTCTCCCAAATCCCTTAGGAGAGGCTGGAGCGAGTTGAATGAACACGTGGGAAAGCGATTGCAGGCTCCTGGACCCTTCCTCGCTCTCGCCCTTGGAGAGCAGAACTCTGAATTAAGAAGTTCAAAACGGGCTCGGCGCCTGTGGCTCAAGTGGCTGAGGAGCCAGCCACATACACCTAAGGTGGCGGGTTCGAATCCCCAGCCCGGACCCGCCAAACAACAATGATGACTGCAACCAAAAAATAGCCGGGCGTTGTGGCAGGCACCTGTGGTCCCACCTACTTGGGAGGCGGAGGCAGGAGGCTCGCTTGAGCCCAGGAGTTGGAGGTTGCTGTGAGTTGTGATGCTACAGCCCTCCATCCAGGGGGACAGCTTGAGGCTCTGTCTCAAAAAAAAAAAAAAAAAAAAAAAAAAAAAAAAAAAAAATCTTTCTCAGTTTCTAACATGCTTTGATTGAAAACCGTCATGGAGGCGTCTGTAGTCCCAGCTACTTGGGAGGCTGAGGCAAGAGAATCACCTAAGCCCAAGAGCTGGAGGTTACTGTGAGCTGTGACGCCTCAGCACTCTACTGAGGGCGACATAATGAGACTGTCTCAAAAAAAAAAGAAAACCATCATGGAAGCCCACATTATTTGCCTACTGTGAAATGACACAATTTCAAACTGTTCAGCTTGTATTTTTCCCCTAACCCCTCTTGAAACAGGTAAACATGAAGAATAACATTAATGCCTTTGTTCTAGGATTATAGAATTATGTCACCAGTTTCCTCATGGAATCACAGACCAAGTAATTCAGAATGAAATGCCTCATATAGAAGCCCAGCAGCGGGCAGTGGCCATTAACAGACTGTTGTCCATGGTAAGGTGAACCCAACTAGTTTACGTAATTACTTATGTGCTGTCGTTGTTGTCATGCCCTCCTGTGTAGTTATGATGGTTAATTTTATGTGTCAACATGACTGAGACAGGGATTCTCAGATATCTGGTCAAATGTTATATCTAGGCGTGCCTTTGAAGGTGTTTCAGTTCACTAGCATTTGGTGAACTGAGTAAAGCAGATGTGGCCTAATTATGAGTAATTATCATCCATTCCATTCAGAGACTGAATAGAACAAAATGGTAGAGGAAGGCTAAATTTGTCCCCTGCCTGACTGCTTTAGCTAAAGTGTGGATCTGCCCTTAGCACTCCTGCTTCTCAGGCTTGCACACTAGAATCCCCGCTATAAGCACTCTGCATTCAAACCTTTAATCTGCACCGCCGACTTTCCTGGGTCTCCAGCTTGCAGATGGCAGATGAGGGGACTCCTTCAGCCTCTATAATCACATGAACATATAGTTTATAATAAATATCTCTCTCTCTCTCCATACACCCACACACCCTAACATAGTAGTCATAAAACCAGAAATTGTTTTGAGTTTGACTCCAAACTTGACTCCTAAGACTCCAAACCAGGAAATGGGTCAGACTTCCTAAATTGAGAAAAGAAGAAATAATTATGTGACATTTTATGAGACATATGAAATATGTCTCATATGAGACAGATGAAATAAATATATTTTGTTATAATTGTTATATTTAACATAATTGTTACTAAGGTACATAAGGGCACATAGGCAGAATGTGTTCTAGTCTGTTCACCTTCTGCTTGCTTCCTACTAGTGGTTTGGGGAGTTATCACAGAGCCTATTCATTAGGATATCACTTTCCTCATTGTCATTGTGAGCATTTTAGAAAGCAGGAATGAACCCAGCTGAAAGACAGCCATCTGGTATTTTAGGAGGAAGTCTAGCTGCAGCCCCGAGTGGCATGGCCCCTATCTCTTCTGTCTTTTAAGAACCTAAAACCCTAATGCCATTCTCCAGCTGTCCAAAATCATAACAAAACAACTTCTTTAAAAACCTACCTAGCTCTAAATTTATTTCTCCTTCCTCTCCCCCATCATCAAACCCCTCATTTCCTGGAGCGTTTCAGTTTGGATTGTAGCAATTAGGTAAAAGTGTTATATACTAAGGCCTCATCCCACCAGCCTTATGGAATTTCTTAGGACTCTGGATATGGAGATTTGGGAACAAGTGAACCTTTGGTAAAATATTACCTTCAACTCTCTAGCTCAGGGATTGCCAGATGTTTTTTATAAAATGCCAGGTAGCATGTTTTAGGCTGTGTAGGCCATATGGTTTCTGTCAGAGCTACTCAACTTTGTCATTTTAGCAAGCAGCAGCTATGGATGATATATGAACTAATGAGTATGGCTAGGTTTTAATAAAACTTTATTTATAAAACAAGCAAAAGGAGTTTGGGTAATTTGTACTGATTTCTCTGTGGTGAAGGTTTTCAACTCTAGAAAGGATGGAGGAAGGGATTCTGGGAGGTTGTGGCAGTGGAAAATGTTCCTTTGGCCTCTGCCTACCCTCTCAGCTCTTTCCTTTCTAACTGAAAATCACCTTCAGCACCTTCTTTTTTACCACCTCTGCAACTGCCCATCCACTGCTTGTCTTATTAGACTACAGGGTATAGGCAGTGGTAGACCTACCAAAGGCTATTAAGCAAGGCAATGATTATTAATAGATCACAAAGTGTTTTGACTTTTTTTAACAGTTCTCAGATTTTTCCCCCGTTCC